CCGAACCGATGTCATACCCAAAGGCTCTGTAACTCCTCAAACACACACACACTCTCACTCATCCTCACATACTCACGCAACTCTCCCACACACAACATTCACACACACCGCTCCCCTCTCTCTCTCTCTCTCTCTCTCTCTCTCTCAGAATCGCATTGTCAATGTAGGCCTATAAGCTGTTTGATTAAGTGGCCCAAAGGTTCTTGACACCTATTATTTGTTTTTCACACACACGGACCTGGAAAATATATAAGGTGTATATGTTTGTATATGTTTATAGCTAACACAAAGAATGTTGTGAAATTGTTTGAGACTTCTAATGTTTTGAACTTCTACAGCCAAACCCTCGTCCAACCAAAGCCCCCATTCTCTCCCCCCACAAGGCATCGAACACCAAGTGTTTGTGTTATTGCTTCAATGAGCTCTCTTCCCATTTCCCTCTTTTACTATTTGTATTTTTACTGGTTATCTCCCACTCACATCTATATGTATTTATTTATTTATTTATGTTCAATGGATTGTTGTTGTGTTTTTAGGGCTTGAGACAAAGAAACCCTCATTTCCTTTGTTTTTATCTGAAATATTTCATCATCTGTCAAGACAATCTTTGTGGATTTTACAGCTCTTATTCCTTGGGTGGAGTTTCCTGAACCATAAGTGTGAAGAATTATATTGAAGTTCTTGACATGCTTGACTCTACCTCTAGACAAAAAGAGGTTTTCCCTTTGTTCTTTTTAATATTTATGCCCCTAGGGCGCTTAATGTTCTGTAATTATGGTTGCATTTGGGGGTTATCTGTTTGTACTTGGTTTGATATGCTAACGAAGGTGGATTTTATGAATTCTATGTCTTTGTAGGTAATCATTGTCACAAAATTATACTGGGGAGATACCAGAGAGAAGCTAAGTGAAGCTACTGAAAATCTAAAGCTGGATTCCTTGGTCATGGGAAGCAGAGGACTTAGCACCATCAAAAAGTTCACTTTCTACTTCTTTTTTTCATTACTTTTTATCGACCATCATCTGATCTTTAACAATATATAATTTGAGTTGCATATATGCCCTTTTTTAGGGCCTAAGCTTCATAGAAAATGCACATGTGAGATTGTTGTCTATCATCCCTTTTTCTTTATTGCCCCTTTTCAATAGTATTTGTTTGAGCCTTGGTCCTGATTATTCATTTTATTGGATATAGTTAGTTATTTTTTAGGGTCAAAATCTTTATTTTTCGTATGCTCGATTTATTTTTTTCATCAAACATTTTCCAATATTCTTTGCTGTGCTCATATCATATAATTAATTTCTTTTCTTGGATGTAACTAGTAAGGTTTTTTTGAATATTGTCCATTCTACATTCATGATGATTAATTGATCTCTTTGAAGGTTGAAGAATTGCTTTCAGGTATTTGCTTGATCCTATTCAAATAAAAAAATACATTAGAGCTTGGTGTTTTGACCCTTTTTTTTTTGGTTTCTAGAGAGCATTAATTTTATTTAATTCATTAAACTTGAGGGATGTTAGGCCCTATTTTGGTCTTATTTTGGTGTAGTGTGTAAAAGGTTAGAGGAGAGTTATTTTTTCATTCACTGCTCAATTTACTTTTATATTGTTTGGATTGAGTTGGGTGATGCCCAAACCAAGGGTGGATTTATTATGTCATTAGAGAGGAGAAGTGCTCGAGAAAGGGATTGAAGTGTAGGTGGTAGCACCTTCATGCTTTTGGTGGAGATTCTGGTTAGAGCTTTTTCAGATGCTTTGTTATGATAAATAGGGATTGGTGTTGGATAATTTTTTTTTTTTTGAGATACAATTTATTTTGTTTTTCTAGGGATTGAGGCATTGTGTAATAGACTCTTTCTTGATGTTTGAAATAGTCGGGGGTTGAAAATATGTATCCTTTTAGGGTGGTTGGTTTTTGATGCAATCCATGAGAACAGAGAGTTTGGAATTTGGTTTTCCTTTTGGGAAACTACAACCAATCATAGGTTAGTTTGGGATTGAGGCATTCAGTAATGCTACACTGACTAAATTTAAGAACTAAATTTAGAGTCCAAATAACATGGCGATATATTATTTTGAGTGTTTATTGAGGCACAAATAACATGACACCAAATAAAGAAGCTTAAGTCAGTTGTCATGTCAGTTGGACTCTAAATTTGATTCTAAAATTTGGTCAGTGTAGCATTACTGTTGAGGCATTATGTTATATAAACTCTTTCTTGATGTTTGAAATAGTTGGAGTTTAAAGATATTTATCCTTTTAGGGTGGTTGGTTTTAGATATCGCTCATGGGAAAAGGTTTGGTTTTTTTTTTTTTTTAGTCTGGATTTTTATCTCCATGTTCATATAAAATACAAATAGAGAAACCCTAATTTGCCAAAAAAAAAAAAAAAGACCGAATGCAATTATTGTTGATTGTTGTAGCCACTGGGTTGACATGCATGTTTTTGGATAAAATACATACCATTCTCAAGAACTGGTCATTTTGTGGTTGTAAACATTTAAAAAAATATGGAAGGACTACAAATGTAGACATGCATGGTGGAATTGGAAGTATTAAAATTAGGGCAATAATTTGTTGATTACATTCACGGTTACAAAGTCTTTTTTTTTGTTATTTTTATCTTTATTTTAATCGTCGGTGATTGTTATTTTTTCTTTGCATCTTTTTGCTGGTGCAGTGACGCCTACAACTTTAGTGACGAGGAATCTTGCAGTTTTAAGCAGATCTATTCTCTAGTGTTAGTCGATCATATTTATACTTTTTGGAAAGTCATTGGTATCTTTCATTGAATTAATGTAAAATTGATGCTCAAGTTCATGGTTTACTTGGATATTGATGATTTTTCGCTTGATTAGTGCCAAGTAGGTGTAACATTTTTTTATTAATGATGTAAATTAAACATTAAAATGAGGCTAAAAGCTTGCACACATACGCTTGCATGTGGAACCATAGTTGCAGTAGTTGATTTTATATCTTCTTAGTGCTGTAGTTGTCAGTTGCATGACTTGAACTGCATTTGTTCTGGGAGCAGTGTTTTAGAGAATTCATTTAATGGGTTATTGACTTTTTCTTCGTTGTTGGCTTTGTTCTCTAGGGTTGACTTTCTTCCGTGGACTTGGTCGTGGATTTTACTTACAGCCCCCCCCCCTTACACGTGGCAATGCATACGAACGTCGACGAGTGTTTTAATTGGCATTCGTTTGTAATTATAGTTTTGAATTTACATTTTTGAATCTATTTTTGCAACAACTGATATATTTATAGATTGAACATTATTAATTTTTTTTAATTATTAATTTTTTACATAGTGTCTTTAGGCACGAGTATTATATAATATTACACTATCACACAATAAAACACAAACAAATTATCATTATATCAAAAAGGAAAAAAATTCTGAAAGAATTACAGAATAGGTCTCAAATATAGAGGCAGTAGCCCGAATTCAAGCATCCAAAAAATTGATTTCACTATATAAAATAATAATGTTTCTTTTCTACTATATATCCATTAATATTTTAAAAATCTATCGCACTATATTTAATTGCATAATTTAAAATTAATTTCTATCAATTTTTTTTAAATAATTGTCAATTTTCTTAAAATACATGACCTCAACAAAATATTAAAATGTATAAAATAAAAATTGTATTGAGCCAAAAAATTATCAAAAGTTAAATGATTTAACTAGTTATAAAAATGAGTGATGTGATAGAAATAGATGGATAAAATATATAAGAATAAGATTCAAACACTTAACTCCCTTATTATACATATGATATGTAAAAAAAAAAATATGCAGCAAAGGTTAGTTATTTGATCTCTTAATTATCAAAGTTAGAAAATGACCACATTAAAACTTTGTTTCGTACGACGGAAAATAGAAGGATGAAAAATTGGAAGAATATATATGTTTTGTAAGGAAGGAAAACAAGAAAGATGGAAAAGTAGATGGATTAATTTTTCTTCAAGTTCAATAAAAATCAATCCCACCAAAATTGGGATGAATAGTAGATGAAAAATTAATTACGTATATTGAAATATATATTTATTTATCTATATATTTTTTTAATTTATTCATATATCATATTTATGTATTACATATTATGTATTCATTAATATGTCTCTATATTTTTTTTTTCATCATTTTACTTTTTCATTCTACTTAACAAAAAAAAAAAAAAATCAATCATCCCTACTTTACATCTCTCCTACCAAACATAAAGAAAAGAAATAAGGATTTCTCTGTTGAATGGTGAAAAGTATATCACTCTCACCTTTTATCCATCCATTTTTTCCTCCACCCAACCATAAACACCATAAGTATTCTAGAATTTTTTTAGGTGCTTAATAGGGGAACAACTCGGGCGAGTTGGACGAGTTGAAAGGTCAATTATAGCTCAACTTTAAATATATAATTCTCATCTCTAACCCTAACTCTAACTCTAATGTTAACCCAACCTTAACCTGAGGTATTCAACCCCAACCCGAGTATTGTTCAACTTTAATTCGGACGAGTTCGAATTGAATTCGGGCAAATTCTGGATTAAAATTTGAGTTGAATTCATTCAATCCCAAAATCAACCGGTTGTTCTAAATACTAAATTTGTCATTACTTCGAGCTACACATATTAATTACTTGAATCAGAATTTCCAAGATGGGGCAGCATTGGAATCTTCGACATTTATATCCTATCCTAAGAACTCTCCAACCAGTCATGGATTAATGCATTAAAATAACAAATATTTGAATACTAAGCTTGTGTTGGTGGCCGGCAGCATTGGAAACTTCGACATTTATATCCTAGTAACTCTCCAACCACTCATGGATTAATGCATTAAAATAACACATATTGAATATTAAGCTTGTCTTGGTGGCCAAGTTATTAGGTTGATGTTCACGCTATATAAAGAGAAATCAACACTGGAAAGCTGCATCAAATTGTTTCTGGAAGTGTACGTTAAAACTGAGAGAGAGATCTAGTGTTTGTTTGCAATGGCAGAAGAAGTGAAGTTGATTAGTCTTAAGGGAAGCCCATTTAGCTGCAGAGTAGAAACTGCTCTGAAAATGAAGGGTGTCCAATACGAATTCATAGCAGAAGATCTGTCAAACAAGAGTCCTCTTCTTCTCAAGTACAACCCTGTGCATAAGAAGATTCCAGTTCTCTTGCACAATGGAAAGCCAATCTGTGAGTCTCTTCTTATAATTGAATACATTGATGAGACCTGGAAAGGCACTCCCATCTTGCCCCAAGATCCTTATGAGAGAGCCCGGGCACGTTTCTGGGCTAAGTTCATGGATGACAAGGTAACACTCATCTCTTCTTTTTTTTATTCTATAAAAATCCTTTTTTGTCCAAGTAAAAATAGGTGTCTTTATTCGGATTCACACCATGTCCAATACATTTTTCCTTCAATTTTTATAACGTACTAATTAAAGACCGACTTATATAGAATTGATCACACTAGAATGCATGGTAGTAGATTAACGAGGAAAATAGAGAAAAAAATGTATAGGAGGGATTTTCTGTCCTGTATTAAACTTGTTCATATAGTAGAATATTGGGAGTTGTTTGTGTCAAGTATAAATGGGATGGGCGGAGCTAGCTTAGGCCCGTGCCCACTCTGAATTTTTAAAAAAAAAAAAATTACCTCTGATTATTAGTAGTACTAATCAGGATTGGAAAGAGCTTTATATTTTATTATATAATGTAAAGTGGTCATTTTTTTATTATATTTGAATTAACTTCCATTTTTTTTTTGAATGATTGTAAACAATCTTTTTTCTTTTCTTTTTTTAGATTTTTTTTTCCTTGCAGAAACTATGTATAATGGTTTTTGTTCTTTTCATGTTTAGTGTATTTTTTAAGTATCAAATATGATATAAACAATAAACTTAACATCTTAATTTTATCAATTTAAAAAAAAATTAAGTGCCTACCTTAAGACCATCTCAAATGAAAACTCAAACCCGTATCCAAATTTGAGTAAAAAAAAAAGGTAAAAAACTTGATTTAGTATATAGACCTCTCCAATAGAAAAACTCAAATTTAAAAGAAAAGAAACTCAAATTTAATTGAGAACAAATCTAAATTTAAATAAGAACAAAATATGATCATTAGATTTTTAAATGAGGGTATAGCCTCACTATTAAAGATTTGTGTTTAAAAAATGATAACTCTTCATTTGGGTTTTAAAAATAAGGTTTCCTTACATTTGGCATGTGTATGGATGTGGCATTGGAAAAACATTTTAAACCATTTTTATCCAAATTTAAATTTTTGTATAAAAAAAAGAGTAAAAACCAAAGATGCTTTAACAAGACTTTCAGGCTCCTCCCCTGTATGAGATGGGATTGAACTGGATTTATTATAGTTCAGTCTATAACAGTATCATCTATATAATAAAGTATAATACAATTTAAATTTTAAAAGATAAATAAAATAGCTGTTGTTTTTCACGGTGGTAATATTTTTAAATTTTACTCTGAAATTAATCTGACGGTTAATATTAATACCTCAAATTTAATATAAAAAATCAGCATTTAAAGATGTATTTTGGGTGACTTTTTAAATAATTACTTTTGAATACGTTAAAAAAAATAGTATTTAAAACCGCTCCACCACTACTTTCACCCCACCGCCCCACCACTGCAGTCACCACCTTCACCGTTATCGTAGCCACCACTACCGCCACCCCACCACCACCACCACCACCACTGCCGCCATCTTATGCCCACCTTCATTAACACCACCACTGTCGCTAGCGCTATTGTTGCCATCCCACCACCACCCTCTTTGCCGTCGTCGCCGCTATCCCACCACCATTACCACCCACCATTGATTGTTATTACCATCGTCCATTGTCATCACCTACCATAATTTTCATCTCATTTTTATATTTATTATCATTATCACTATCGCCTACCGTCAACACCCACCACTATCATTGTTATTCACCATCACCCATCGCCACCTACTATCACAACCTACCACCACCCATCGTTGCCCACCTTCACCGCCCGTCACTATCACCCACCCCCCATCAAACTTACAACCACCAATCTTCATCGCTTACCACTGTTGTCACTTAGTGTCACCCATTTCCACCACACTTACCACCACTACCACTACTATTTATCATAACCTATCACACTGCCCTCCAAAAGCACTCGCCATTGCCCACCACCCCTATCATCAGTGCCCACCACGGTCGTCGCCCCACCATCACCACTGTCAATTATCATCACCATCACTCACAACTATTATCGTCGTCATCTATGATTGTCACTACCACCATCGTCATTAAAAATCCACCACCAGCATCACCATTGTCACCCATGAAGTACAACCAGTGTTTAAATTTTTTTCTTTCCTCTATGTTTGTAATTTGATTTTGGGTGTGAATAAAAATATATTTATTGTTGACAATTTTTTTTATTATTTTGTGCCTTCAGACGCAGACAATAACTAATATTTAAATAATGTATCTGAAACTTTGTCTAATACCCATATGATATTTGAAATGGACGTTTGATATGAAGTTGAAAAAGACAAACTCTCGTGCATTCATTCCCTTTCAAAACTAGGTCGAGGCATTCTTGTAATCTCCAACCTTAATACTAATTATTATTAATCTTCTATTGCATATCACATTCGATTGTTTGTTTTTCTGTATATTTCGGGTTATTTTACTATGTAATTTAGAGCCAACATTATACTCGAATCAAACACACCCTAAATGTAGAATTTGTTTGTTCAGTGCTTGCAACCACTGTATAAGTCTTGCTGGGAAGGCGAGGAACAAGAGAAAGCCAAGGAAGAAGCAAGCGAGGTGCTGAAAATTCTGGACAATGAACTCAAGGACAAGAAATTCTTCGGAGGAGACAGCATTGGACTGGCTGATTTGGCTGCAAATTTCATAGGATATTGGTTCATAATCCTCCAAGAAGTAACTGGAGTTGAGGTTTTGACAAAAGAGAAATTCCCAAAACTATGGGAATGGACTAATGAGGTCGTCAACTGTAGCATTATCAAGGAAAATGTGCCTCCCAAACATGAACTCGCCACCCACTTCCAAGCTCGGCTTAAAGCTGTTGCTCTCAAATAAATAGCACATGGAAAACGATCGTGACCTAATTTGTAGACGTAATTAATTATAACTATTGAATTATTAACATTGAAACTCGTAAATAATTTAATGGTTACAATGAATTATATCCTCAAATTAGGTCGGTCATTGAAACATGCTGGTGTTGTATCTGCTTTGCTCATATACCATGAATTTGTACAAAATAAGATTATGCAGAATCACATGGCCTGAGGCCACCCTCATACTATGCGATTTCTATGTATGTTTCATATGGAAGGGTTGAGCTATGAATGTATGTTTGGGTTCGGCCCTTTATGTTGTAAGTGTGGATTTAGTGTTTATTGTTCTTGTTTTACAATGTAAAAGTCATCTACTTTAGTAGATGTTCATCATTGTACTGAGGTTTGTTTATGTATCAGCTCCCCTTTAGTTACAACGCTTAGATTTTTATTATCTTTCTCGTTTTCTTAATTTTAATTAATTGAAAAAATAATTAAAAAATAATACATCAAGTACAAAAAATGAATAATAAACTCCGAGAAAAACTAGTATGATTCAATTCAACATTTTGTTCATTTAAGTTTGATTGTGTTATTGTTTCATAATTTGGATTAGGTTTAGTTGGTTATTGCTGTATTGCTGATATTGAAAAAAAAAAAAACAAAAAAAGGGCTGGTGCAGTTAGAGTTTGATTGTAATTAACTTGTTTTGAGATTCCACCCGCTTAAGCAGTCTTTTTTCCAAGTTTGGTTATCTGAGATTTCACCAAGCTCCAATTTTACAGTTTCTCGCATTGTACTGGTTGGCTATACTTGTCCAAATTTAATGTTTTAATCTTTATATTTATTTGAGACCAAAAATAAAATAAAATCTCTGTGTTTATTTATTATTTATTTTTTTGCTGGTATAAAAAAATGTGGGTGCGAAAGAGAACGTTGAGACAACACTCCAATAGGCTCACACTGGTGGATCGTGAGGGCCTTGACTGCACCGGTCACTACTCTCGAAAACGAACCTAGGTAGACTAGTATAGTAGTAAACCACCAAACCCTAATATGAACTCCTAGAATCGAATCTCCAATATTAGAATAAAAAGTTTGTCCGATACTTCACTGAACCGCCCCACTCGGTGGTCTTTATTCGTTTACTTGTACTGGAAAAAGAAAAAATTATTTAAATTATTCATTGTTTAAATTTTTGTAAGCTATAACTTGTATTATTGTTGGAAAAATAAAAATTTTTATTTATAGTTTTAGGATTCAATCAAATTAAGTTACAGTTCAATAAGATCAAAATTGTCAATCAAATGAAATAAAGAAAAAAATGACATGGATCCTAAAGATAAGCTTAACGCCATATGATTTATCATCGATTCTGTTTTAACAAGGTTAATTCATACCATAAATTATTATACCAACCTACTAACCTGTTTCAAAAATGAAAATAATTTTTAATTGTGCAACTAGTGTGGCCAATTTTGTAGCAAAAAAAAAAAAAACTGAAAATTTAAGTCCGAATGAATAGTCGGTATAAGTCTAAACACTTTATAACAAAAAAAAAATTACTCAAAAATTGATGAGGCTCCTTGGTTTTGCATTGGCTGCTAGAAGAAAGAACTATAGAGAAGGGCTAACTTTAAAATGCCATTAAAATTATAATGTCATTAATTGAAATTATTTATTTCACCTAAAACTTAATCAGTATTGGTCAAATCAATCTAGAGTAGCAATATCAAATTAAAAAATTAAAAATTAAAATTTAACCAACATCGTTGACTGTCAAATTGATTGTAGACGAAGATCTATAGCGATGAACACATCTTATTCTCATGTTCAAAATACTTACAATTAATGTGATTTAATTTATGACGAAAAATTGAACGATAGTCTAGACGAAATTTACATTACTATCAATTTATAACTGTGAAAGTGCAAATTAAATTTTTAATGCTTGAAGGTGTAAATTAAGAATCGAAATATCCTTCGAGCCCTTAGATTAGCACAACTTCTGTTTAGAAAAAAAAAATCAACCACCATGAAAACAAGCTTCAAGCTCAAAAAATTGGGTTAATTTCGCAATCAAATCCCACAACTCACCGTACCCACCCCACAGTCAGACCCAGTACCACGCTCTTCACCCACCATCCTCACCTCCTACAACACACCCAACCGGCACCACATCCACCAATGCGCCACCGGCCAACCATCGCCCACCGTCCCAACGAACCTACAGGGAGAAAACAAGATAGAAGGGAGGATGATTAATTTGTGCTTCTGTCCGTGCCTTTTTGTCCACATTTGAAACCCATAAAATAACCCACACAACCCCCAATTTATTACCAAGATACAACCTTTTTTAAACTTAAATACCGATATACAATAATTTTAATCTTATTTACTAATTTACGGCATTTTTTAAAAGCGGAATTGTTGAATCCTCTTTCACTTATAAAACGGAGTCAATAAATCCGTTTTTAAATATAAAATACGGAAGCAATAAATCTGCTTTTAAATATAAAAATAATATTTTTTATCATATTTGCCAAACTACCATTTTTCAAAAGCGAAGTAATTAAATACGTTTTATTTTTAAAAAAAGTGATTACCAAACATGTCTTTATGGTTAACTGCATCTGAGAATGTGCTTCCTAAGTAGATTTTTATTGAAAAGCTTGTTTGATACCCTCGCCTTTAGGCTAAATTGAAAAAAAGTCAGGCAGCTGACGGACTCTCACATAGCTCCAACTTCTTTCTCTCCAACAAATCTCATCCTCCTACAAGTCCTCTTCTCGAAGCTTTATGGCCTTTAGTTTCAAATTTAATATCACCAAATTATAATTCGATAAATGTACTTCAATAAAGGAAATCTCATCACTCAAAAGAGTTTTTTGTTATGCACCAATTGTTGGAAAAGTAATCTACAACAGATTATAATAGAAAGACTTCGATCGTATATTCATTCTCTTTAAGGAAATTATGTTCCCACTATATTGCTGCTGTGTTTGAGATAAATTCCTCTAGGATTAACAAAATAGATAAATATTTTGTATATTTTTGTATTGAAAGATCTGTACAGGTATTTATAATACCTTAGAGATGTAAAAGAGAGACAGAACTCTTGGGCCAAGAGAGACGTAAAGAGGAGACACAACTCTTGCGTCAAGTGACATTATTTAATACAAAAATAATTAATCGTTTATAGAATTCAAGCCCAAGATTGGCGTGGTTTTGAGATTGGTGCTCAAGTGCCTATCTTTTGATTTTAAATATTATTTTATTTAAAGCCTAATCAAGGCCCATTGATTTGAAATATTTGGAGCTTCCCTCCAAATCTTCTCAGCATCCAAATTTATAAACTTTGGTGTATTTCTCCTTTTAAACTCTTCCACTCCTTTTCAACTTTTCCAATGCGAAATACTTTACATTAGTAACTATCTTATATTACTAAGTATTTCTTACACCAACTGATGAAAGCATCGGGCTCACAACTATTGCTGCTAACAAATATGAACTTAATGAAAGCCCCTTTAACTAAAACTCATACCTTTTTTTATCACTCACTGATGTATGCCCAATAAAATGTGAAAAACAGCTTGTCGTCAGGCTCATACTAGCTGCTGCTCGTGATTAATCATTTAAGTTTCTGCACTCAGCTAGTATCTCATTCATGACAGTGGCTACACTCTGAGCTCATTTATTACATCTCAGCTGCTATTCTTAGCTCGTTTAGGTGGCATACATAATATTTTTTGTTATTTCTTCATTTTGTATCATGCATGCATTTTCTCCCAATGGGTTGTTCCAATACTTGGCGTGGTCCTGAGATTGGTGGTATAATTACTAAAGCTGCTTCAGTTTTCTACCAATGGGTTGTTCCAATGTATCGGAGAGCGCACAAAAAGTAATAGTTGAATAAAAGCGTGCCTGTTAACCACGCTTTTAAAGGGAGTTATATATTTAAAACCGGAATCATTAAAAAATGCCGTAAATTGATAAATAAATACAAAATTACTGTATATCGATATTTAAATTTAAAAAGAGCGGTATATTGGTAATAAATTCCACAAGCACCGCATCAACACTCATAAAGGTAACACGATACTACAGATTAAGAAATTACACTTACACTCCTAAACTCTCACTCTTTTTTTACTTTGCCCCCTAAATTGTCAAATTTTTTTACATTGTACTCTCAACTAACACTTTTATTTCACATTATCCCAATTGCAAATGTCTATTATCTCTTTGAACGGAAATCGCTGCACATGTCATGGTAAAAGTGAAAAAAATATATATGTTTTGTAATAGAATGAGATATTTTTTTGTTAAATATGTAACAAACATTAATAAGTGGGACAATGTGAAATTAATGACATTGTTTTGTTAAATATGTAACAGACATTAATAAGTGGAGCAATGTGAAACTAATAATATAATTGAGAGTATAATGTGAAAAATCTAATAGTTAAAGAGATAAAGCGAAAAAATGTGATAATTTAAGAGGTATAAGTGTAATTTATCTGAAGATAAAACCAGGGGAGTATGGGAATACTTCTTTTTCTCAAGCATTCATTCACTTTATTTAAATCTCAACTAATTTTAGCATACCGTTTTACATAGCATTAAAGAGCTGTCGGACGTTTGTGGCTGGGAAAAAGAAAATATTATGTAACCCAAATATGTATTCCAAATTAATGGGATTATTGGATCAGTGGTTTCCATCAATTTTTTAAAATGAGACGTACGGATCCAATGATCCCCTTCATTTAGGATGCAAATTTAGATTACAGATTTTGATTACATAGCATTACTTCTAGAAAAAATGGTTGAAGTAACCGGAGTACAAAAAGGCAGTAGGCTCCATTTAACATTAACCTCAAAACTAATTCAATTTAATAGTTACATTTAAACAACATTATTAGGTCTCAAATTAAGTCCCTCTAGCATTGCTCTACCAAAAAATGGGGTAAAGTAGACTGTGAAAATAATAGGAAAAACTATAATTGACTGTGGTACAGGAAAAAAATATTCCGGTACCATAATTCTATTTACCATATTTATGGTTATTTTTATTATACTTATAGGTCAATTTATCACTGTTATGTTACTCTAAAAAATAGTAAAAATAGTTATCAAAAATAGTTATCGTATCGGTGGTAAAAATATTCACAAATATGATAAAAAGACTCATAATTATAATAGAGTTCATTATAAAATACCCCCTCGTCCTGTTAAATTTCAACCGTTAAAAGTGACAGAGTTTAACCACGTGATCTTAAATATGTTCAAAAGACAAAATTAACTTTTATCAAATATTTTACCGCACATATAAAAAAACTTCGCAGTGTCCTGGAAATGGAATTTGCCAATGCTCGTTTGTGTGTCGTTGGCTTTGGTTGGTGCGACTGGAAATGGAGTTGGAGGTGGTGGTGGTGCTGCGTGGTTTGATGATTCTGGTTAGGGTGGGGGTGGGGTTTGGTGATGTCGAGGTTAGGGTTAAAGTTGGGCTGGAGATAGGTTGAATTGGGTTTTTTAAGTTTTTAGGATGTAGATTTTTTTTTTGTTGTTGCTATTTTAGAAAATATTAGGAGGGATTTGTCAAGGGTAATTTTGCTTTTACATAGAACTTGAGATCATGTGACTTGCACGTGACTAAACTCTGTTAAGTTCAAAAGTTGAAATTAACAACATGAGTTAATTGAAAAATATTTAAATTTTGAGGGATAATTTGTTGAAATTGAAATCAAAGAGAGTTGATTGTAACATGGCCTAAACTTGAAGATGACATTTTATAATATACCATTATAATTAAAAAAAAATTCACAAATGTTGTAAATTATTTTATTCCGAAAAAAAAGTGGTATAAATAGTTACAATTAATATGGTAAAAATACCCACAATAGTGATAAAAAATTCACAAAAATAGTAAATCACCTATAAAAATAATAATTTTTTTAGTTATAAAATAATTCATAAAAATTATAAAAACACTTTTTAAAGTGATAAAATTTAAAAATATGTTTTCAAAATTATTTCTTCAATATCATAATCAAGTTCGAAAAGACTAATGAATATAGAAAATGACTTAGAATCTATTACCAAAATATCGCATATTTCAAACAAATTTATCAAAATACGGCAATTTTGAACTTATTTACCAAATTATGACACTTTTTTAAAGCGAATTCAATAATTCCATTTTTAATAGAAAGCGGATTCAATAACCCCGCTTTTGTTTTAGAAAAAAGGATTCAACAATCCCGTTTTTATGAGAAAATAAAATTTTTGGCCAATGAGAAAAACGTGTTTTATAAACACGCTTTTTATGGTTTTTTGTGAAAAGTTTGTTTATTAAACACGCTTTTCACGGTTTTCGACTTCCACTGCTCTTTTGGTGACAACTTCTATGGATTCTTTTTCGGTGAACCTCAGCCAAAGATGGGTCGGTTTGAAAGGTATTATATAGAGGGTTTTTTTGTTCTTTTGAGAACAAAGAAGACAACTCTTCCTCTTCCCACAACAAATCATGTTCTTGCAACATTGGAGATTTGGGGCTTATACAGTCACTATAATAGCTCTCTTCTTCTTCCTCAAAACCGTTCTCTGTCACTTCCTCCCAATGTTCTTCTTCACAATACAAAGCATCCCAAGAGCAATGAAGGGTTTTGTTCTCGAGTCATCTTCTTCAAAAAGAACCAAACACCAGAGCAGAACAACAAAACACACGACTGGAAAGCACCAAACACCACCACCACCACTAGTTTCTCAAATAAAATTGATCCTACCCACGAAACTTGGCCCGATATGCAAGACCAGAACTACGTTGAACAACCACCACCACCGTGAATCAACCAAACCCAACACTGTGAAGTACCAAACACTTCTACCACCAACCCAATTGTGTTAATCGATCAAATCATGGTTGGTTTTGAAAGATTTTAAGGGTTTTTAGAGATGGATTTTGGTAAAGAATGAGGAAAAATGGCAAAGAGTTTTGTAAGTGAGGGAAACCAATAGAAAACGTGTTTAATAAATACGATTTCTTCAATGTCCACATTTAAAAAAAAAAGTCAAAAGTGGAGTTATTGAATCTGCTTTCTAATAAAAGCGGAATTATTGAATCCGCTTTTAAAAAGTAACGTAATTTGATAAATAAGTTCAAAAGTATAATATTTTTATAAATTAGTTTGAAAAGTGCAGTATTTTGGTAATACATTCAAATTACTTAAGTAATAGAGGTCCAATTGAGAGATAAATTTGTAGCAAGAGAGAGAAAACAGAACGTACAACCATTACTTCCGTCAACCTATTCAGTCTATTCTGATGAATTGTCATTTTTCTTTTTAGATTTGATTATGGTACTAAAAAAAAATTGGTGCCGTATATATGTTTATTATATTTGTGATTATTTTTATTATATGAGTGTTTGATAATGGTTTTGTTTTTACGCTTTTTTATAAAAAAAATATAACAAAGTTTTGTGATATTTTTGATAAAAATTAAAAATATAAAACATATTTGATAATCATTTATATTTAAAAAATTATACAAACAAAAATAAAAAAATAAGTTTTGTATTAATATTATACCAAAAATTCAGCCCCAAAACCACCTCCAATCACCTAACACTACCAAACACCCAACCACCTACCACTGCCAAACTCCCACCACCGTCACCAAAACCCACCCTCACAAACCCCGTTGTGGAACTCATCACCCAATTTGTTTTTAGTGGTACCGTATTCAGATTCTTTTCTGACATTTTATTGACATATGTACTTTTGATTAGTGGCTGAGTACCACATAATGGTGCCAGCTTAGCACCTGTTGAGCATAAAAAGCGGGGTTGAATTTTTATTATGTCTAAATTAAATATCGACATTTGCTTGGATGGTTTTCTGCGGCCCCTCTCAATGCCCACATCATTAAAAAGTAACATTATTTCGATCTAAAATTTTAATTTAATTTATTAACATAATAATATAAATTTATAAAAATTATTAGATTAACACTAAGTTTTAATATTTGATGGAATCTATAATAAATTCAAATATCACAATAAATTATATCAATAAATTATGTCAATAACTTGGTCCGAATAATATTACTCATTATTAAAACTACATTAAATTTGGGCCTTAGAATTCCTATGATACAATGGATCTTGTGTGAGATTTAAAGCGTGAATTTAAAAAAAAAAATTGTTTAATTTACCTTCTAATCCTATGGTTTGTTCAAAATTTTAGGCCCGAGATTTATAAGCTAAATAAATCCAAGCGTGCAATCTACAGTGAAATTAAGAGATTTTAGTCAATCGAATAATAAAAAATAAATATATATATATATATATATATATATATATATATATATATATATTTTTTTTTTTTTAAATTAAAAATTTTATACACCAAAACAAGGGAGGGCATTGACCTTACCCCTTATTTTAAAAGATTACAGTATTTTTTTAAAAAAAATTATATTTAATTTGACATTAATCAGTGAACGTACCATTAATAAGCTTACGAAACATAAATTGGGATAAAAAATGTAACGAGTTCAAGACTTAAATACAACTAGTTGAGTTTGAAATGATAAGGAAAATCTAATACAACTCTAATGTATTCAGATTTGTGCAAATTTAATGGGGAACGTTTTTCATGTCCGAAAATTGATAAACTCAAATGATTTTGTGTGTTTCTTACGGTGCATGTTCTATCCCAAAAAAAAAATTAATTTCTCAGTCTTCGTCCATCTCTGTCTCCGTCAATACAAGTTTATGTGGATAATATAATCCTTTCTTTTTTTTTTTACTTTTTGGGTCCAGTGCCATTGGCCATGTTAGCTGGGAGATGGGCACTGTAAGTTTTGAAAGTAACATTTTTCTTCAACACTGTCTAAAGAAATTACAGAGGTTGACAGGTTGGATAATATAGTCTCTCGAAAGGTGAGGAACTGAGAACTAAGTATTGCAATGGCAGAAGAAGTGAAGTTGTTTGGTGCTTTGGAGAGCCCATTTAGTTGCAGAGTAGTGATTGCTCTGAAAATGAAAGGGGTACAATATGAATACATAGAAGAAGATCTACCTCACAAGAGTCCTCTTCTTCTCAAGTACAACCCTGTGCATAAGAAGATTCCAGTGCTCTTGCACAATGGCAAGCCAATCTGTGAGTCTCTTGTTATACTCGAATACATTGATGAGACATGGAAAGGCACTCCCATCTTCCCCCAAGACCCTTCCGATAGAGCCACGGCACGTTTCTGGGCTCAGTTCCTGGAGCAAAAGGTACAATCATTCTTTCTTTTTCTTTGTACATCAAAATATCTTACAACAAATGTTTACCGGACCATTTGGTGTGGTGATGATTTAAATATATAATGTTTACGTTTAGTGCTTGCCGACATTATGGAAGGCTTGTTGTTGGAAAGGCGAAGGGCAAGAGAAGGCCAAGGAAGAAGCATATGAGCTGATGAAAATGCTTGATAATGAACTCGAGGGCAAGCGATTCTTCGGAGGAGACACCATAGGACTGGTTGATATTGTTGGTAATTTCATAGGCTTTTGGTACGGCATTGTCCAGGAAATAACAGGAGTTGAGCTGTGGACAAAGGAGAAATTCCCCAGATTATGTGAATGGATCGATGAGTTCGTGAAGTGCACCATTGTCAAGGAAAATCTGCCTCCTAGAGAGAAACTATTGGCCTATTTCCGAACTCGTCTCCGAGGTGCTGCTGCTTCTAAATAAATAGCACAATGGTGTTGCATTTGCTGCCCATAGACCATGAAACTCTATGGTAAATAATCTTCTGAAGATTCTGAGGCCACCTTCTACTCCTGTGTGTGATTTCATTTTGTGTTTCGTATTTCATTGTTGTCCTTGTTTGAGTAATAATTGACTTTATAGTAGATGTTCAGTGATGTGCTGAACATTGTCTCTATGTTGGTGTATGTTCATTGATGTGCTGAACATTGTTTCTGTGTTGGTGTATGCTCAGAGATGTGCTGAACATTGTTTCAAGTGAAAATTTTAAACCTTTTAGTTTATTATATTTTTAAAGAAATCACTTCTATTTTTTTGAATCTTTACCGAGACACTCAATCAAATTAAAAATATTAACTAAAATACAATTTTACTAAATTGTTCATGATATATTTGAAGACAAACTTCATACACACCCCTTTAAATAAACATATCTTCACTGAGACCCAATTTGTTTTTTAATTTTTTTTATATATTAAAATTTAAACCGATTAAAATTCAATTCAAACTAATTAAATTTTTTTTTACATATAAAAATTTATGCTGATTAAAAATTATATTTTTCAGTTCTAAAAATTTGGGCTATTTAAAATTCTATTTGAGTCAATTAAAAATTATTTTTAATCGACTCAAATCAAATTTTAATCAACTTACATTGAATTTTAATCGGCCTAAATTTTAATAAATAAAAAAATATAAATTTTAATTGATTTAAATTTTAATAAATCAAATTTTAATTAACACTAATTTTACTAAGTAAAAAAATATAAATTTTAATCAACTTGAAAGCGAATTTTAATTAGTGCTAATAACTTGGGTAGAGTTCAAATCGACTAAAATTTTAACACATAAAAAATAAATTTTAATAAGCTCTAATTTTAATACATTAAAAAAATAAAATTTAATCAGCTTCAATCGACTTTTAATTAGTTCAAATTTTAATATGTGAAAAAATAAATTTTAATCGACTTGAATTTTAAAAAAAATTATTTGAGGTTTATGTAGGGGTATTTTTGGTATTTTAAACTTTTTTTTGTTAGAAATGGTAGTTTAATAGTAGGGGTGTTAGTGACGTTTAAATATAAACTAAAAAGAGTGTTAATGATATTTTTGATAATAAAATAGAAGTCTTTGAAGATATGAGAAATTTGAAAGTGTCTAACTAAAATTTTCCCTTATTTCTATATTGGTGTATGTTTACTGGTTAAGCAGGATTGTAATTAACTTGTTTGAAGTTGAATGGGGCAGTTGGGCGACCTATCTAAGCTAGGTTCCATTCATTACTCTGTTTCTCCAATTTTTGGGTGACAGAGGCTTCACCAAGTTTCAACGTTTGCTCATGATTGGTGATGAGATATTTTCTGTGATCAAAGGAACGCGGCAAATGTCCTAGACATATTGGCCGCGGATTGTTCTTTGGACGACATATGTCATCAGCAACTTGTCTATAGACTATTTTCCAAATGTCTATAGAGTTCTCGGTATCTTGTCCGCGAAATTCTTGACATGTTGTTCGCAGAGTCCTCGATATCTTGTCCACGAAGTTTTCAGCATCTTGTTCGCAGAGTGTTATCTGAATGTCTGCAGAGTCCTAAACATCTTGTCCGCGAAGTCTTCGACATCTTGTTCATGGAGTGTTCTTTGAATGACACGTCCTCGAAAATCTTGTTCGCGAAGTATTCTTTGGATGACACATATTTTCGACATCTTATCCACAGAGTGTTCTTTGAATGACACGCATCCTCGACATCTTATATGTGGAGCACTTTCTACATGACGCGTCACCTTGGTGTCAAGTCTTCCATGCCAGCAAAGTATGGATAAAAAATTTTGACGGTTATAATAACTTGAACACAGAGTTGGTTGTCAATGATCAATTTTCCCTTTCCAAGACGGTCAGAATGGCAGGAATGACATTCCAATAACTAATGATAAAGATGTACAAAATATAAAGTTTTAAAATATTGGCTCCTTGGATGGATAATGGACGAAAGTACCCTTTTCCTCAGAAGAATAAGGAGCATTTATTGCTCGGCGAGCTTAGGAAGGCCCGAGCATTAAATGTAAAAGTTTCCATCACGTAAAGAGGAGGACTCGTTGACTGAGGACTGAGCATCACCTGCTGTCTTCCAAATGAGCCAATGGGGAGCCTTCCCTCTAGGGGACTTAGTTGTCTCCGATGATTGACTCCATGAAGGGATAAGTAGATCTTTTAAACCCAAGTCTAAGGTACATACATTCTCACACAAACAGTGTTTTTCTACCCCTCTCTTACATACTAACTTGGTTGTCGAAGGGGTCATGCTGAAAAAAACTTTGACGCCCTTTTAACATTTTTTTTTGAGTGACAGAGTTTATCTTAATAAGTCTAGATTGCCCGGACAGCTGAAAATGTAATTCATCACCACTCCTTATACCATCTCTCACATTTTTTTTTTTACGGGACCATTGATTTTTCAGGTAAAACTCGTATTTACCAAGGAGGAGATCTGTCCATTCATTTATTGTATAAAAATTACCGCGCACAATTGACATTTAATATCAAGTCGAGAACTAATGGTGAGTTGTTTCCAAATGAGCCTTGCTGAGGTGGGTGGGGTGGGCAAGAGGGGACTCATGCACAGTCCCTCCCCCAATGGCGGAGCTAGAAAATCATTTCAGGGTGCGACACGAATATTTTTACAAACTAGGATATTAATTTATATTTAATTGTATTCTATTTAATACTTAAAAGTTTATTAAATTAAATACATCAAAAATTGGTAAGCCTAGTGTGTATAAATGATAGGGAAAGAAAAAAAGACTAATTACATCGTTTTAAAAAATATAAAGTAATAAAAAATTATTTAAAATTGACTCTAATGAATTTTCATACTTTGAAATCATTTCATAACAACTTTATTATTCTTTATATATACAATCATATTAACACTCGGGTATTTATCACTCATTCGATAATGCAGTTCAATGCGCATTCTATAATGTCTACGGTAGTTATGAAAATAAATGTCAAAATCATTAGTAAATTAATTAATATATATATCATGCATTTTTTAGTCTTAAAAGATATAAAATAATTTCAATATATTCAAAATTTATTTAGATAAGTATATAACATGTCTAAAATATATCAAAATTTTTTTATTTATTTTATATAAATATACACTAATCGATGCGACAACAAAATAGAATGAACATTTGAGAGGGCACATAGGCCGGCTCCGTGCCCATGCGAGGGGTGGGTTAAGCGTGATCTCCCTATGCGGGTTAAAGGGTACTGTAACAATCGGGTCAAGCTTTGACCTGAGATTGGTGTCCAACCTTAAAAATGGATATCCAAACAAGGGATTTTTTATCCCACTCCTATTTTATTCCATTTTACTAGTGGGTAACCCCCTTTAACCCACTATCCAAACTTGTGCGAGTGATTGCAAAAGTGAGAGATAAAAGAGAGGGCAACAAAAAAAGAGATATGAGAATGACAAGAAATCATGATCATTAAACTATATGAAGAATATTATGGGGATTTCATTTAATATAATTATTAAATTAATTTTGAATTTCAAAGTTATATGAAAATAGTATTATCGATATTTCATATGCTCATTTACCTTTGTAATGGAATAGTAATAGATAGTTTTAGACAAAATAGTAATAAATTGTAGGGAAATCTAAATGTATTTAAAAAGTAGATTTGATAATCACAACGATTAAATAAATAGTAAATCTCAATAAATATTGAAACTCACAATAAAATCAACGATTGTAATGATCACGTTTATTTTTTAAGCCCATGTATATTGCTCTAAATTGTATAGGATTAATCACAAATTACACTTTAAAAAATCGTTTGAATCTTAATTTGTATCTTCAAAGATAAAAACATCTCAATTTGTACCCTCAAACATATAAATTTGTATCGATGCACACTTGAAGTTAACAATCATCAGTTTGTCGCCTAACACTAGTTGGGTAAGTTACACCTCGACTAATTCAAGTTCGTAATTTAATCATTTGGACCCCTTATATTTAGAATATTATTCTTCCACCTCTTGATATTTGTGCATATATAATACATAATCTCTTGTCGTTGATATCTGTTAATATATTCATTAAAAAAATTTGATTTTATCCTAATAAAAAATTATAAATTTTATACTACCATTTATTTTGTGGACCTGTTATACTCTAAAGTTCAAAATCAAACTTATTATTTGAATACTCAATATAATGCAGATATTTATATAATGTTCTTTATATTTAATCCAAGACATCACTTGAACAAAATTATTTAGATGCTTAATTGGGTGAATATTTTTAGTTTATTTGGATCCTCATGGGATGTAGGTATAATATTTTAAATGTAAAGGATCTAGGTGATTAAGTAACAACTATGAGGAGGTATATGTAAAATTTATCCATTTAATTTTAAACGACAAACTGACGGCTGTTAATTTCAGATATGTATTGATACATATTTCTATATTTGAGGTATAAATTAAAATTTTTAATCTTTACAAATATAAATTGAAATGCAAACAATCTTTCAAGATATAATTTATGGTTAACCTATTTGTATATTATTTTGTGGGAGGCGTACAAGTACATTATTTACTATCCTCTATCTTAGTTGAGAAAAATCTAACTTTTAGGTTTGAATTGATTTAGGTAAGTGAACCCTGCCCCACTAGGTGAACTGACTGACCAGCCCCCATATCGAATTAATTTAGTGTAGCCGACAAAGTTACTTGGAAGATGGTCCCCTGTTCATTGAAGATAAGATATGATTCTGAACTAGTGTAATTAGAACTGGATCGAATCGATCAATTAGACCGGTCTAATCATGATCTGGAACTTAAATCGATCTGATTCTAGAGTTAAATCGTATAAGCAGTCGAACCGAAAGTAAACCGCTAAACTAGCCGCTTTTTTTATCAAATTAGTAAACCGGACTGTTTTTTAAAACTGGCGGGTTGAATTTCAAA